TGTTGTTGATACGGCCTCTCTGTGAAATATGTCCTGTGGCCCATGCCCTTCCCTTCAGTCATTTCAACGTGGGACTGAGAAAGGACACGGTCTCACGTCCAGCTTAGACTCCAAGAGCCTCCTGAGGAACCGGAAGTGTGCAGGGAACCGGTTGCCCCAGTGGCTCATTTCCGTGGATGCACACAGCCCTTCTCATGGGCTGAGCTCACTCTAGGCACGAGAAGGGCTTTGTTGACTTACTCACAACTATTCTCAAGGTGTCTTCTGCTTTGGGCAGGTGTGTGGCATTGTCAGTCTCGAAGCCAAAGTACCAGCTCCCCAGAGCACCTGCAATTTTTCACAATTCGGGGAAGACTTCCAGGGCGGCTCGCCAGACCTCTCTTCAGACAGAGAGGGGAGCACCTTGCTGATCTGTTCCTCAACCCGTATCTAAGACCACCAAGTAAATGCCAGACGTCTTCTGGGAAGGTCTTTGCTACCTCAGAGTTTGTTGCTCAGGTCTGCCAGATGGCCTGGGAGGAAAATAAGAGGATGGAGCCAACACTCGACAAACTCAGCTATTAAAAGTTCCCAGGCTTGTTGGCCTTGGTCAAGGCCATCCACCCTTCATCTATATTCTCCAACCAATCAACAAGTCCTTACTGAATGCCTACTAGGTACACAGCACTGCTTTGGGGTTCTGCATGGGCAAAACTGAGAAGCGTGTCAAGTGCAGGGAGTTTACAATCTAATTGAGAAATCACAAAATACACACACACACACACACATACATACTGCATTGACCCGTGTACATACACATGCATATACATCTGTGCTCCCATACATTTAAGAGTGGCTCACAACCGAGGTAAGGGGTGATAGGAATCTAATGACTTGGTCCCATTTCAAAGGCAGTAAGAGCTCAGAAGATGAGAGTACTATGGGCTGGGAAGGCTTCTTACAGGAGATGGGGACTGAGCTAGACCCAAACATCTGAAAGTCAATGGTAGTTAGCACATTGCATTTCTTTTACCATCAAGTAGACTAAAAGCAAATAACTTTCCCAATCATAGCAAGGACGAAGGATGTCATATAAGGTTCCCCTCTGAAAGGGCCCTGCAGAGAATGCGACCATAGGGAGCAGCCCTTTGAGGATTGAGCCCAGGCAGCCGGAGGTGAAGACATCCTTGGGGGTGGTGTCTGGTTCATGCTTCACCACGTGGAGCCGTGGACGGCAGTGGTTGTACAAGCTTCCTGGTCATAATGGCTTACTATTTCAGGCACAATTTAAAGAAAAATCATGGAATTTTACCCTTAGCTCCTGGTTACGGTAAAAGGATGCAACGTTCCAGGGTCTGGGCAGGGAGTTAGTGTGCAAATGATTCAGCTCCCTGGAACCAACCTGAAGAGCCTGTGGTGTCCTATGACAGGGCAGCGAACACAAGAACTGAATCACTTTCATTGCCACACACAACCACCAGCAGTCATAGACATGTAGGGGCTCTCTTTAATTTAGTCCATCCCTTTCTAAGGCAAATGGCCCCCACGAGTTTTCCTCTTACTTATCAGTGTAGACACAGCAAAACTTACATCCTAAAAAAAAAAACTGTAAAATGTCACCTTGCAGGCAAGTGGGGAATTCTGAATACAGACGACTGGGTGATGATACCAAGGGAATACGGTACCATTCATGCGCCTGGACGGCACTGTGGTTGTGTTGGAAAAGCCTATCTTTTTTAGAAAGTGCACACACATAAAAATATAGAGATGAAAAGACATATTGTCTTGAGTTTCTTTTAAATTATCACAACAAGAGGAGAATGAATGGGAGGGGAGAGACGAAAGCGAAGAAAGAAGGAAGAGAGGGTGGGAGGGACAATGAAAGAGGCTAGAGGAAGCAAGTTTGACAAAAGCCTGATAAATATGGAAGCTGGATGATTATTTTTATGGGGGTTCATTACAATATTCTTTCTACTTTTGTGTATGTTTGAAGATTTCATGATAACAGGTATTTTTAAAAATGAAGAGGCCAGCGCCGTGGCCGAGTGGTTAGGTTTGCCTGCTCCGCTTCTGAGGCCCAGCGTTTCACCAGTTTGGTCCTGGGTGCAGACATGGCCCCGCTCATCAGGCCATGCTGAGGCAGTGCCCTACGTAGCACAACCAGAAGGACCTACAATTAGAATATACAACTATGTACTGGGCAGCTGTGGGAGAAGAAAGAGAAAAAAAAAGATTGGCAACAGACGTTAGCTCAGGTGCCGATCTTTAAAAAATAAATAAACAAATAAATAAAAAGTCAAAACCCTTAACACAATTGACAATAATAAAAATCACCCCCTATATTTTTACTGGTAAAATTAGCAATGTAGCTTTCCATACTTCATTCTAGCTTCACAAGAATTCCGGGAATAGCAAGACATGGAAACAACCCACGTGTCCATTGATGGATGAATGGATAAAGAAGATGTGGGGTATACATACATATGTATATGCACGTATGGATATTTACAATGGGATATTATTCAGCCGTGAGAAAAGAGAAAATGCTGCCATTTGCAACAACATGGGCGAATCTCGAGGACGTTATGCTGAGTGAAATGAGCCAGGCAGAGAGAGACAGAAAAACAGAGAAAGAAAAAGTATTCCGTGAGACGGTTATCTTTAGCCATTAGTAGTAGTAATAACAGTCACCCTATTTTATCGTTGGGACACTGAAGCTCAGAGAGACGATGAGGCTTGCTCAGTGTCACGTGACAAGAACATGGGGCCGAAGTTCTCGCTATGAGGAGGAAACAAGAAGAGCAATGCTGTGCGCTGAATCCCACTTCAGGTGTTCCAACTCCCAACCTGGCTTCTTTACTCAAACCCCTGGGCTTCGGTATTTTGGCAGGGGGATGGTCAGTGCCATCACGCACCCCCTTGAGAATCTGAGGGAAGGCGCGCACACGCTTAAAGTCACAGTACGGACAGATTTTACATTCGAGTTCCGAGAGACTCACGATCTCCCTGGTGGCCAACCATGGCCTCCAAATCAGGAGCCCCACGTCCAGACAATGTGCCCCACCCCAGTCACTGCAATGAATGGAGCCAGGTAGCACCCTAGACTCTCCCCCTCTACCCCGCATCCTAAGACACTGCTCTCACCAAGTCACTGCCGCTGACCAAAACACTTACAGTGACCCACGCCCAAATCCAGGCATTCGAACTCCTCCCATAACTTTGGCCCCAACCCACCTTTCAAACTAGTTCTCACCCACACCAGTGTTGTCTTCAGGCTCTCCCTCCAGCTCCCCCTCAAAGTCACGTGTTACATGCACTCACTCTGCTGGCCACTCTGGCCGTGTGGGGGTTCCCTGAGACAAGCTTGCACTTGGTTCCTCCTCGGGCAGCTCACGCCACTTCTTGTAACCGGGATTCCCTGCACAGCTCAGCATCTGCCAATGCCTGACCCATCCTGTGAGGTGCAAAGGACACCCTCTTCCCCACAAAAGCCAAACCTGCTTCTAGCACGGGGTGCTGAGAACAAAGTGTCTTGCAAGGTTTGAATCCTGGCGCACTTCCGCCGAGCTGTGTAACCTTGGGGAGTCAGTGAACGTCTCTGAGCCTCCATTTCCTCGGTCAGGAACTAAAGACGGTGATGGTCCCCTCCTCAGGGGAGGGCTGGAACACACCGATTAGCCAGGCCCTGGTGCGCGGTGAGCTCCCACATGATGTCGCCAGCATGAGCAAGCACAGCGATGTGCCGCTCCACAGACTCTCATATCCACTCGGGAGCAGGGGCTACGCTCCATGTCTGGCACCTTCAGTCACAGTGTGGGCTCACGTGCGGACTGACCCCACTCGGTCTTGACCCCTTAACTCCGGCATCAGCTCAAGATGTCTGAGCCTTCACCATGGGCCTTCCTTGTATTACTTCATGCAAATTTCACAACACCACAGAGGAGGTACGGTCACGATCCCCATTTTACACATGCGGCACCTGAGGCACAGAGAGGTCAGCTAACTCCCCCGGGGTCACAGAGCAAGTAAGTGGTGGGGCTGGGCTGCCTGCCTCCAAGCTGTGGGGCCTCCTGCTCCTGGGTGGGCCAATCCGCCTCCCCAGATGGTGAGAACCGACGGCGCCATGGCCAGCTGGGCCTTCTCAGCCCTCCCCACACGGCTGCCCTGCATACGCAGCAGCCGACATGGGCTTCTTGCGTGAAGCATGTACATCTCCAAAAAGACACGGTAGGGACGCCATTTTCACAAGAAGACATCCTCTCCTCTCCTCGGTGCCCACACTCAGATGATAAGCATCTCGATCTCCTCTCACGGGCCCTCATGAAAAATAACCAGGAAAAAGATGGAAGTAGGAAATGGGAGGCAACAGGGTACGGTCATTCATAAAGTTTTTTTAAATCGTCTCTATTAATCTTCTCGCAACCGCGTGTGTTAGCTTCTACTGTTGTCTCCATTTGGCAGATAAGAAAACTAAGACTAGGGGAGAATAAGCAACTCAGGTTAGCGTGGGGGCCCCGCGCAGGGCACCCCAAAGTATCCCACAAGGGCCTATGGATGATTTTGAATTAAAGGTAAGAAGCTTCGAGAAGCGGCCAATGCAAAAAGGGGATTTCCCCCTCCTCTTTCTGTTTCCGCGGAAAGCAGGAAATAAATGTCCCATGTGGAAGGTACCCTCCCGCCACCAGGCGACGGAGACAGCCTGATCGCCAGAGCTAGGGAATTCGGGGCCAGGAAGCCGGCAGACACAAAATCCGTTACTTCGACTAATTTGCTACCTCAAGCCTAAACTCTGCTTAAATTCCTCTCTAATTACACACCCCAAACCTAAGCTTCTCGGTCCTGACATTTTCGCACAGATTGTTTCTCTGTGTCAAAAGATGTAACAAGCAGCCTGCTTTGCCCATCTTGGAGAGCGTCGTTCGTATGATCTCCAATGTGGACCTATCAAATTGGCTTTTCTCCTGTTAATCTGGTCTCGTGTCAATTTTATTCTTAGTCAAGAGGGGTAGAAGGGGGAATTTCCCCCTGTCGGACCAGACCCAAGGCCAAGCTCCTGTTCCTGGAGTCCCGGGGAGTATGGCGAACTCTGACTTCAGCCTCATTGCAAAAACTCAGAGCAGGCAACCTCCTGGCCAATCATACTAGTTTACTATTCCCTGCCTACGACTGGATGCTGGATATGGAGGGCTGGGCCAAGAGAGATTCTCCAAACATCTCTCCAACGTCTACGGAGCTAGCGTGGGTTCTCTCGCTTCCCCTGCACAAATCGGCTGGAACGATCCAACGCAACCCCGTCTTCCTCTGGAAAGACAACCCAGGAGGTCGGGCGTAGTCGGGCAAAGGGCAACCCGGAGTCCCAAGTTCTGTCCTGGCGCATGCGCCCTCCTTGCAGGCACACCCTCCCATTTGATGGCCACGCCCCTGCCGTATGGGCACCTCAGCCCGCCCAATCGCCAGCAACTGGCGGTGAGCCCACACACGGCGCCTACTCAGACACGCTCTAGTCCGACTAGCTGCTCTAACCTGCCTAGACGCTCTGACCTGACTAGACGCCCGAAGAGCCTTGAAGGAGCCGGGTCGCGGGCCGCCACTCCAGCCTTGAGCCATGGATCCCAGAGCAGAATCCCCAGAAGCACACGGCCTCTTGGACAGCACTCGGGACCTGGAGCCTCCACAGCAGTGCAGCGACGAGGGAGACGACGAGGACCGGGAAGAAGGGCATGGTGAGTGGTGGTCGGGACAGGCCCTTCGGCCAACTCCAAGCAAGGAGCGTGCCCTGGGAGAGGCGAGCGGACAGGACACCCCTCCGATGCAGCCCCTCACCCCCTTCTTCCCACAGCCTGGGCTCCAACGCCCTGATCTTTCTCTTTGGGATTCCTCCTTTGCAGAAGCGAAACGTGTGGAGATCTCGCTTAGCGCAGACGGAGGAGAAGAGGAAGAAGGGATACAGGCCGAACCTGAGCAGGAAGCAGCAGCAGCAGCCGCACAAGGGAAAGAGGCAGGAGACGGAGCAGGAGAAGGAGAAGAAAAGGACGACGGCGCCGTTGGCGCTGGAGCTCCCGCGAACCGCGAGGCCGGCGGCGATGGCGGCCGAGAAGCGGGAGAGCAGGGGCCGGAGGAGCAGCCCCCGCAGGCCGCCGTCGAATGTCCGCAGCCTGGAGCCAGGCGGCAGGCGGGCCGCCGCGCCACGTTCACCCCGGTGCAGCTGCGGGAGCTGGAGGGCGTTTTCCGCCACACTCCGTATCCCGAATTGTGGTTGCGGTAAGCCGATTGCTCTGCTTCGCGTCGTTTCCAGGCAGCATGTGGGGCTGGTCCAGGGCGGCCTTCGGCTCTCTCACAGGTCCCTCTCCTCCCCTCCCTCACGAAGAGCCACCTGGGGGACTCCAGGCTGCCAGGGCCCCCGCCCCTGCCCTTGGGTTCTAGGGTTGGGGTGAGGGCTGTGCCTCTTGGGAGTCAAGGTAAATGTTTTCATTCAGGATTTCAATAAATCGAGGCAGGAAACTTTGGCTGCCGCCTTTAAGATAGAAAACGTTCGGTCGGGACCAGGCCAGGGAGAAAAGTGAGTAGCGTGAGGCAGGGGGAAGCAAACGCCGGACTGGATCGTGCCTTTGTTTAACGTTTGGATCATCTGTTGTTCACGGATTGTTTTTGCCTTGATTTTCATAGTTTTAAACGCTGCGTTTGAAAGTGATTGATCTTGATTAGCGATTTTTCTGCATCCCCGTAAATCCTGTTCTTGAGAGAAAACTGTCCGTAAAGCAAGCCTCATCTTAGATACTAGGGAATAGTGTAGCCGAGTGGGGTGGGGAGCTGGTGATTAAAAAAAGTTTAAAAATAAGTGCAACCGGGGGCTGGCCCCGTGGCCGAGTGGTTAGGTTCGCGCGCTCCGCTGCAGGCGGCCCAGTGTTTCGTCGGTTCGAATCCTGGGCGCGGACATGGCACTGCTCATCAGACCACGCTGAGGCAGCGTCCCACATGCCACAACTAGAAGAACCCACAACGAAGAATACACAACTATGTACCGGGGGCGTTGGGGAGAAAAAGGAAAAAATAAAATCTTAAAAAAAAAAAAAATAAGTGCAACCGAAGAATGAACAGCAGAGAGTTTGTGCCATCCTTAAGCATCGTCTAGGAATGGACTCCAGCCTGTTCATCACTCATAGGCAGATAGATAGATAATAGACAGATAGACAGATAGATAGATAGATAGATAGCAGGCTATTTTAAGGTTCTAATTTAACGCATAACACGAGTGAGAGCAATGGTTGAAAGTTGGTAGGGAAATTTGCTCAGTCAGATATTCTTTTTCATTTTGAAGTCGGTAACACTCGGTGAACTAGAACTTCATGTGTCCTTGGGAACCGTGCCTCCTTCACCCGTGATACTTGGCTCTCCTTCAGTGCTTTGTCAACGTCAGTTCACTGTCAGTCCTGAAGTGGTGTGAGTTTTCCTACTGCAGAAGTGGGTTCGTAAAGCAAATGGCTGACATTTCCCTGAAAGAAAAAGTTTCAAATAAGAATGCACTATCACGCTAGATTTAATTTAACGCACAGCTCCAAATACTGAACACTTGCGATTTTTCCCCCTCAGACAGGAGCTTGCTAGACGCATGGGTGTGACTGAAGCCAGGGTGCAGGTGAGTAAACCTGAACAAAGCAGCTCGGCAGGGCAGCCCTTCTAAAACCTGCTTCTGTCCTACACGGTCTCACGTTTGTGTGTTTTTGTTGCCTCTTCCGTGTTTGGGAAATGAGTTTTGAACTTTGGGGTCCTGGTGGGTGGAAAACGGGGTAAGTAAACAGCAGCTTTTGGAAACTGCCCGTCACCAGAAGGAACGTGATTTCCTAAAGGAGAAAAAAAAATGATCATTAGTACACTGTTCCTTATATACAAAGGTAGATGTGTATGTATAGCTCAACTCCTTTTGACACGGGTATCCTTTAGGTAACACTTGTGTGTGGAGTCACATTGGGGTTAAGTCTGAAGTGGAAATTGCTCAGATGAATGCACCAAGAAGTTCCATTATACTAAATTACTTAAAACCAAGCATAAGCTCTTTATGTAAGGAGTGAATTTATAAGTATCTAGGCATTGAAGAGGGGGCGTAATTCACACATAGAACACAGCAGAGGAGCAGCTGATGTGTGTTTGGTTCGGCCGAGACCGGTGGGGAGGGTATAGCATGAGTCCAAGCGCCTGGTCCTCCTGCCGTTGTTTTGAAGTGTTTGGCAGAGTGGTGTAGAGAATGGCGGCCCTAAATTTTAATCTTCTGCAATTCTTTGATATGTGAGCCTGCAAACACTGCTAACATAGTAGGTTGTGCATGGTGGCGGGACGGGAGGGGTGTTGCAACCTTGTAACTATGTCCAAAAGATGAAACAAAGGAAAGTACAACAATTTCAAAGTTCCACCGACCTAAGAAAGGTGGAAGCAAGGTGCAAGCGCCAGGCGCGAATTAGAGAGTCGAACGTATGCCTTGGGGACGTCACACACATTCAAATTTTTGAGACTCCAAGTGCATTGGTGAATATTCTCTGGAGGAATGTCTAACACCTAAGAGGTGTGTCCTTCCTTCCGGTGGCGCTGTCGTGAAGCGGTGGGTTGTGTGGAACTTGGTGGGGGGGGGGGAGGCGGGGGATGGCTCTTAGTTCAGGCTGGATGCTCACCTGTGGGAATTTGAAATGCTTTTTCTTTGCTCAGTCAGTGATGACTAATTTATGGGTCAATGGATCAAGAGGTGATGTTTTGAGATCGTAGGAAAGTCTAAGTTGTGTCAAAGGATAATTTGGAAGTGAAAAAAGAAGAAGGAGAAAAGACAGAAAGAGAGGAAAAGAAAAATCAGGCTGGGTTTATTAGCTTTGCTGCAGAGACCGTGTGTGAGGGCAGTGACGGAAACGGGCCGCAGACCTAGTGACGGGGTGTCTGAGAAGCAGCCCAACAAAGCAGGCCGCTGAGCGCTGGCGTCCTGAGGCCGAGGGCTGGGCTCACAGTCGGGTCTGGCCGGGGCCGGGAGGACCAGGCCTCTGCTTTCGCAAGCAGGCAGAGCAAGCTCAGAGGAAAAGAAAAACTTCAGTTTTCGTGCGTGGACTTCCTCCCTGCATGGGTTTGCGCAGTGCTCCCTCAGTGGGGTTCTGCAGGGACGAGGAGCCACAAGAAACAACTAAGGAAAGAGAGAGGATGTTCTCACCTGTTTCCAAACTCTACAGCATGAATTTCCCAAAGACGTTTTCCCCTGGTTTCACTGAGCCCTGACGGGTAAGCAGCACCGTCTAGGTTTGAGGCGTCCAGCACGGTACTTTGACTCCCCCATATTGTGAAGTGATCCCCACAGTCAGTTTGATTAACCTCCATCATCGCTCACATAGTTACAAACCAAAAAAGAAAAAATTGTTTTTCTCCTTGTGGTGAGAACTCTTAGGATTTACTCTCAGCAACTTTCAGAGATACCGTAGAGCAGTGGTAACCGTGGTAGAGCGGTGGTAACTAACAGTGCTCGTCACGTCGTGCATCACAGCCCCAGTACTCATTTATCTGCTCACTGGAGGTTTGTACCTTTTGACCACTTTCGTCCAATTCCCACCCCCCCAGCCCCTGCCTCTGGTAAGCAGAAATCTGGTCTTTTTCTGCAAGTTTGGTTTTTTGTTGTTAGATCCCACATAAAAGTGAGATCATGCAGCATTTGTCTGAAGAAAATGCTAAGGGAGGTTCCCCCTTAGTCTGCAATTAACAGTAAGAGTCGTTCTAGGAAACCGGTATTTTAAATATGCAGCTAGTAGCAGCCTTTACCTCAGTGAGCCCGATTTGCATTTTGGTTGTGTTTATGCAGGTTTGACCGCTGGTATGCTTGGATCCCTCAAAGTGAGCCCTATCACAGTGGCTTTTTAGACTACATATTCACACAGAAGGACCCAAACACTACGGTGGGAGAGTGAAAATAAGGCAACAGGCAGAGAGAGGAGGATGCAGACTGGGACTGTCCCAAAATAGTAACACGACGTGATTGAGCTGACTAGGATGCTGAGGGGACAATGTAGTCTAAAGGGCAGTTTTATTTTTAGTTGTTTGGATATTTTGTGACCCCCTCACCCACACGGTTGTCGACTCTCTTCCCCAACCGCTGGTTCCATCTTCTTGCCTTAAGCATAAGGGAGGAGAAGGGGACCTCCTGGGTGAGCGGCGCGGCCGTAGGTTGAGTGGCATGCCGGCATCAGCGGCCCCTCCCAGGGTCCTGGAGCAGTGGGCTGACCTGGTCCCGAGCCCAGGAAGGTTTGGAGGGTGGGCCAGGTCGGAGCTCGCAGAATTGACAACGGTGACAGCGGTATGCCTCTTTCCCTCCAAACTCTTGCCTGGGCAAGGATTTTAAGAGAGTTAGTCAACTCGGTAAATTTGGGACTTTAGTAAAGTCGGCCCGAATTTAGTGAGTCTAAGCATTCATTTCCCCTAAAGTCTAAAAAGTTAAAGCAGTGTCCATGGCTTCAGCTATCCTCGTGTCCCAGCAAGCCCGGCCACAAACTCCCTGGGCCCCCTCTGACCGACCTCGCTCGCAATGCCATCTTTTTAACTACCAAGAGGTGGCAGAGGATGAATGCCCTTTAGTCATC